AAACTATATATCTAGGCACAATACTTTTCATAAAAATGGCATTGGAAATTTCAGCATTTTTTTGTAGAAATTGTTTGTTTACATTTTTGACCGTTAATTGGAAATGTTTCATAACTGTGTCAAAATCTCCCAAAAAAATAATTATTTTTGGGATAGTGTCAAAAGAAAAAATGTTTCAAATCCAATTTCATTATGAGTCTCCGAACGAAACAAATCTCTATGTGCCTCAGTGTTGCTTAAAAAAAACACAAAAATATTTTTCTAATTTTTTTGCTCCATTTTTCCTCCTCTTTATCTCGAAGCATGAAAGTAACATAAAATTTAATTTTAGGCGGAAAGTGTCAAAGGAAGAGTTATTCTACACAAAATTCCGGCAATAATCTCATAATAAATCATATATCTAGGTTTAATAGTTTTTAAGAAAATTACATTCGAAATTTTTATATTACAATAGAAGATTAAGATGTTTACGTTTTTTAGCGGCTAATTTAACACATTTCCATTCCAGGTCAATATCTCCAAAAAAGACTCCATTTTTGGGAGATAATTTCAAAGACAGAATTTTTCTAGATTAAATTTCATTGCGAGTCTCTGAACAAAAGAACCTTGTATACTTAATACGTTCCAGGTAAAAATAACATTAATTTTGGTAAAAAAAAATTTAATGTTTGACAAATTTCGCACTTTTTCAACACATTTCCAATCCAAGTCAATATCTCTAAAAAGACTCGATTTTTGAGGAATAATTTCAAAGGGAGAATTTTTCTAGATTAAATTTCATTGCGAGTTTCAGAACAAAAGAACCTTGTATACTTAATATGTTCCAGATAAAAATATCATTAATTTTGGTTCAAAAAAAAACAAGATTTTAAATGTTCGGCAAATTTCGCAATTTTTCTAAAGTATGTGCAAATTTTTTTTACGATTTCGCTGTCCAATTACCAGTTTGGGTTTTGGAAAATTCCAAGTGGACTTGATAGTCTTCAGTTTGAAGATCAAGACCCCGAAAGTGTTATGGGTTCTTAAGTCAAAGTTCTTAAGATCTTCACATAGCCATGACCATATACAAAGGGACGCCAAATATTCTGAGATATATTTCGCCACATTGAATATAGGCCATTGAAAATGTGTACAGACATTTGAATTACTTCAAGAATCATTGGTATTGAAAATGGGTATGGGTAGGTATAGTCCTCATACCCTAATGGATTTTAAATTCGCGTTTTAGGAGCTTCATGGATATTCAAAATGTTGACCTTTTTTGGGGAAGGTACCAGAAGCAGTGGATCGATATATTCCATCTTTACGCCAGACCTTGAGTTAATAAAAATATTTTGATATGTGTAGAATAATCGTTATTCGAAACTTTGACCCTTTGTGGGGGAGGTACCAGATGGAATGGTTCGATTTTCACCTTCTTTATAACAGGTCTTGTGTTGATAGAAATATTGAGATGTGCCAAGTCCGAATGGAATCGGATTTTAAATTCGCGTTTTAAGAGCTTTTCATGGATATTCAAAATGTTGAACCCTTTATGTGGGAGGTACCTGAAGGCATGGACCGTTATATTCTATCTTCACACTAGACCTTGGAATAATATAAATATCGTGATGTGTGTAATTTGAAGACAATCGGATTCTTACATCACATTTTTTCAGAGTTATAATTATTCCCAATGTTTACCCTTTGTGGGGGAGGTACTTGATTTAGTGGACCGATATTGTCCATTTTTGCACCTGACCTAGCATTGATGGAAATATTAGGATTTGTAAAGTTGGAGCAAAATCGAAGTATCCTATCTCTTTCGGTGCAGTAAAATATTTTTTTTAATCGACCTTTTGTGTGGGAGGTACCACAAGGCGTGGACCGTTATATTCTATCTTCACACCAGACCTTGGAATAGTATAAATATTGTGATTTGTGTAATTTGAAGACAATCGTACACGAACATCACATTTATAAGAGTTACAATTATTCAAAATTTTGACCGTTTCTTGGGGAGGTACTTGATTTAGTGGACCGATATTGTCCATGTTCACACCTATCCTAGCATTGATGGAAATATTGGGATTTGCAAAGTTGGAACAAAATCAGATTATCCTTGCTCTTTCTGTGCAGTAAAATCCTTTTTTTAATTTCTACCTCTTGTGTGGGAGGTACCAGAAGGAGTGCACCTATATGGCGCATCTACGAAATCGATCTAAGTTTGATAATAATGTTGCGATGTACTCTAGTTTGGACCAAATCGGACGCTCCCTTCGAGAGTTATCATGCGCACCAGCCAGACAGACAGACGGGTGGGAAGGACGGACATCGCTAGATCGACTCCAAATGTCCTGAAGCGGATTTGGTCCAAAGAGACCTAGGGTCTAAAATCGTTATTTCGATTAGGCACGTTTTGGCCGTATCAAATGCTATATACCCTAAGATTCACTCCATTTGGGCTGATATTAATCATTATTTGTACAATAAACTGGAAATCGGATTAAGGATATATATATATGGAAGCTATATCCAAATCATAGCCGTTCAAAATAAAATTTAGTAAAGGTATATCCGAGCTTTATAAGATATCTGCTACCAAATATTATTGTTGTCGAATGCATATTACGAATGTGATGGACTTCAACACCAAATGGGATGAACTTACATATGGGAGCTATAGCTATTCTGAACCGATTTTATCTATATTAGATGTACTTGCTTCTAGACTGAATTCGGTCAGATGTACAAAAATTTCGGTCATTTGGACTTATATTAGCCATTTGGTGCACAATTAACCCCAAAATCGGTTGAATATATATATATGGGAGCTATATCTAAATTTGAACCGATTTTCTCCAATTTCATGAGGGTTCGTCCTTGGACCAAACAAATATTGTTTGACAAATTTCATCTCAATCGAATAATAAATGCAACCGGAATTTTTTTTCACAAGAATTCATGGACGGACTGACATGCATAAATCGACTCAGAAAGTGATTCTATGAATATCCTCAAAAGTAGGTATGGGTCTATCTCGCTTTCTTCTCCATGTTACAAACAAATGCACAAAGACATAGTACCCTTACCACTATGTGGTGTAGGGTATAAAAAATTAATTTTAATGCCATCGAAATGCGAGCATAACTCAAATATCTTAAAACAGACATAAGGGCATATCCTCAATTTAGCCTTTATTTGATAGGTGTTAATTGCAGAGAATGGATTTTCCACACTAAAATTTTTATTTTATTTTTTACTGTATTTTTATACCCTACACCACATAGTGGTAAGGGTATTATGTCTTTGTACATTTGTTAGTAACAGGCAAAAGGAAACGAGATAGACCCATAGTTCCTTTTGATGATCTGCAGAGAATCACATTTTGAGTCGATTTATGCATGTCCATGTATTTTTGTAAACAAAGTACAGGTCGCATTTATTGCCCGATCCAGATGAAATTTTGCACAGATCATTTGTTTGGCCCAAGGACCCTATTGAAATTGGAGATAATCGGTCAAAATTTAGATATAGCTCCGATTTGCCTTGTATTGTGCACCAAACGTGTAATATCAGCCCGAATTGTATGGAATTTTGCATATACACCAAAATTATTATGCCAAATTTGATCGAAATCGGTTCAGATATAGCTGTAGCTCCCTTATATATTGTTCATCCGATTTGTTATTTTTGTCCTCCTCAGCCGTAATATGCACTCTGCAACAACAATATTTGGGGAAATATATCAAATACAGCTCAGAAATACATTTGCTAAATTTTATCGGGATCGGTCCAGATTTGGACATAGCTCCCATACATAACTTCGTCCGATTTGCCTTTTATTGTGCACCAAACGTCTAATATTTGTCCAAATGGGATGGAATTTGGCACTTACGACTGAATTGAGTCTAGAAGCTAGTATGTCTAATTTGGTGAGGATCGGTTCAGATATAGCTATAGCTTCCATATATATTGTTCATCCGATTTGTTATTTTTGTCCTCCTCAGCCGTAATATGCACTCTGCAACAACAATAATTGGGGAAATATATCAAATACAGCTCAGAAATACATTTGCTAAATTTTATCGAGATCGGTTCAGATTTGGATATAGCTCCCATACATAACTTCGTCCGATTTGCTTTTTATTGTGCACCAAACGTCTAATATTTGTCCAAATGGAATGGAATTTGGCACTTACGACCGAATTGAGTCTAGAAACTAGTATGTCAAATTTGGTAAGGATCGGTTCAGATATAGCTATAGCTTCCATATATATTGTTCATCCGATTTGTTACATTTGTTACCTACATCCGTAATATGCACTCCGTAACAACGATATTCAGGGAAATATATCAAATACAGCTCAGAAATATCTTTGCCAAATTTTATCGAGATCGGTTCAGATTTGGATATAGCTCCCATATATATCTTTATCTGATTTCAAATTAATTTTGCACCAAATGGGCAATACAAGTCCGAATTTAAAAGATACAAATGCTTTTGAACTTTAACTTATCATAGCTTGTATGATTGAATTCTCCCATAAAAACTTTTAATTGTTATGTGGAGCTCTACTAAATTAGCAAAGTGATGTAGGGTATCATAAAGTCGGCCCGTCCGACTTTCAGACTTTATTGGTTTTTAAATGTCACAATGTATATGTATTGTTCCAAAACAATTTACTATTTTGTAAATTATTTCACTAAATTCCATATTTTTTATGGCTTTATAACACCTTGCTTTTGTTTTTGTTTTAGTTTTTTTTTTTTATTTTCAACTAAATATTCCCGCACTCAGCATTCATAGGTGGCAAAATAATAATAAAACTCTTTGTTTATTTTGTTTTTTTTTTTTTTGTTCGGTCTTTAATTAAAATTGTCCATGGCGGGCATATTTTTGGGTTTACACTTTGATAGCGTCTTCAGTGTTGACCCTGAAGGCTCTCTTAACTTCTTAGCACCGCACACACTCACTCTCTCACTCACACTTTCACACCACTATTTTCTGGCCAACTTACAATGTTTAATAATAATAATAAAAAACACTTTTTTCTGCTATTTCAGATGTTTTAAAGCGACGCACTGAACTTGTGCTGTCGACTTATTTCAATCGACTGATAAATGTCGACCGCTGTAGCATCCAACTAATATGTCTTCGCGGCTGGCTAAAGTTGAGGAAAATCAAGCGTTGCATTAACATAATGACAGACCGACCTGTGGTGATGATGATGCTGTCGCCTGACAACGACAATGGCGACGAAGTTAATTTTAATTAATTAAATATTCTCCACATTAATTTTGGCAGTCAATGGCTGGCTTTCTTCAACCAAAGAGTTTGTGGTTTGTGGACACGTAGGCCGCCAACGTTATGGGAACATAACTAGAGATTTTAAGGTTCATCTTTGTTGTTGTTGTTTTTTTAAATATATTTAATTCTAATCAGAATTATACACACACACACTTCAGCTTTTAATGGATGCTACCTATAACCTATAATTACCACTAATTACTCCTTTAATTTTGCGAATTTGACAATAAAGTGTGAATTGTAGAAAATCTCTCACCCTTACCCTATTATGTATTCATGTAATATTTTAATTATATACTTACATCAAGATAAGTGTAATGAGCATAATTAAATCATGATTAGATGAGATTTGCAAATATTATTTAAAAAAAAAAAAAGAATGCAAATTAAGATTTGCAGACCTACGTCAATGCATTCGTTTATACGAATACACTCCTGTATGTATTCACCACACACATGCATACATACCTTAAAATATGACTAGAGTGCGGACAAGCGACGCGGAACCTCAGCCATTAGCGAATTAAAATTTTTGACATTAAGTTCGAATGAACTCATTCCTAATATCTTTGAGTCATTGCTTTCTAAAAATCGCACCTTTTATACCCTCAATCATACATATTAAATTCCTCATTCCGTTTGTAGCTCATCGATCAGCTCATTGATCAGCGTAAAATTCTAAGACGATTTGATAATTTTTAATGTGCCCTTATATAGTCGACCGAAATATTGCATTTTCATGCCTCATCTAATACAGATAAAAATATTGAAAATTAATATCCAATTTTATTCGAAATCATAAATTCCGTGAAGAGAACCGGAGGCATATTTCGGATTTCATAATCGTTTTGCTTATTCAAAACTTTGACCCTTTGTGGCGGAGGTACCAGAAGGAATGGTCCGATGTCTACCAACTTTATAACAGTTCTTGTGTTTAAAGAAGTATTGAAATGTGCCAAGTCTAAATGGAATCGGATGTTAATTTCGCGTTTTATGAGCTTCATGGATACTCAAAATTTTGACACTTTTTGGGGGAGCTACCAAAAGGTGTGGAGCGATTTTCACACAAGACCTTGAATTAATAAAAATATTGTGATTTGCGTAATTTGAAGAGAACCGAATGCTTATTTTGGATTTTATGATCCTTTTGCTTATTCAAAACTTTGACCCTTTGCGGGGGAGGTACCAGAAAGAATTGTCCGATGTCACCATCTTTATAACAGATCTTGTGTTGATGGAAATATTGAGCTGTGCCAAGTGTGAATAGAATCGGATGTTAATTTCGCGTTTTATAAGCTTAATGGATATTCAAAATTTTGGCCCTTTTTGGGGGAGCTACCAGAGCGTGTGGACCGACTTTCACACCAGACCTTGATTTAATACAAATATTGTGATTTGTGTAATTTGAAGAGAACCGGATGCTTATTTCGGATTTTATGATCTTTTTGGTTATTCAAAACGTTGACCCTTTGTACGGGAGGTACCAGATGGAATGGTCCGATCTTTACCACTTTTACAACAGTTCTTGTGTTTATAGAAATATTTAGATGTGCCAAGTCTGAATGGAGTCGGATGTTAATTAATGTTAATTTCTCGTTTTATGAGCTTCATGAATATTCAAAATTTCGAGCCTTTGTGAGGGAGGTACTAGAAGGAGTGGACCGGTATATTCCATCTTCACACCAGACCTTAAATTATTAAAATATTGAGATGTGTGTAATTTGAAGAGAATCGGACTCTTACTACAGATTTTATAAAAGTTATAATTATTCAAAATTTTGATTCTTTATGGGGGAGGTACTTGATGGAATGGACCGATATTGTCCATTTTCGCACCTGACCTAGCACTGAATTTTAAATATTAGGATATGCAAAATTGGATTATCGGATTATCATTTCTCTTTCTGTGCAGTAAATTATTTTCTTTGAAAAATGTTGACATTTTGTATGGGAGGTACCAGAACGAGTGGACCAATATTGTCCATCTCCGAACTCGGTATAAGTTTGCAAATAATATTACGATGTACCAAATTTGGATTTAATTGGATACTCCCTTCGAGTGTTATCGTGCGTATCAGACAGGCAGACGGACGGACGGACATCTCTAGATCGACTTCAAATGGATTTGGTCCAATCCGGTCTAAGGCCGTTATTTCGACTAGGTACGTTTTGACCGTATCAAATGATATATACCCTTTCTAGCCATATGCCTGAGGGTATACAAATACAGGGTGAGATGAAAAGACTGCAACCAACTTCGGACTGATGTCATTTCTAAGCCAATCGTCCGACAGCCTTTAAAATTATTCCAGTGACAGCTCGTAATATTGTTTACAAGCGCATAAAAGCATTTTGGCGAGAATTTTCAGAAAAATATTTATTCGCGATGGAATTCAAGCGTCGCAGTGACCGAAAAATGACTCGTGGTCTGCACATATCGCAATATTCCATTTGGCAAATATTGAAAAATGAGCTCGGGGTAAAGCTATTGAAATTCTAAAAAGTGCAAGAACTTACACCGCAACAGAAAGAAAATACACTCAAAAGAGCTAATGAGTTGCTTTGCTTGGCCGAAAGTGGTGAACTCCCGAATTTGGATTTCTCCGTCTCCGATGAGAAAAATTCATTGCCCAGCAGTTTGTAAACAAACAAAATGATCGTGTTTACCTGTCAAAGAGGTCAGTTTAAAATGTGCACCTTCGGTTGTCCACCAAAAGAACTCAGGCGCCGGCCATGGTGATGGTGTGGGCCGCCGTAACAGCCGATGGATGCTCTCGGCTCATATTAATCGACCGTGGCATCAAAATAAATGCCGAATATTATCGCGAAAATATTCTGGAGGGTGTATTAAAGCCTTGGGCAGGACTCAGCACCATCGCACTCAGCACGTGCCACCCAAGAATGGTTACAAAATGGGGTTCCTCGCCTAATTTCCAGCACACAATGGCCACCAAAATCTCCGGATGTCAATCCGTTGGACTATTGCGTCTGGAGTATTTTCGAAAGCAAGATTGGCACTAAAAAATTCCAAAGTGTCGATCACCTCAAGCAAACGCTTCGCCTGAAATGGGCCAAAATACCGCAGAGCAACATTCGGGCAACGTGTGAAGGTTTCATTGGCCGTTTGAAGGCCATAATTCGTAATAAAGGTGACCAATTTGAACATATCTAAACTTATTCTAAAATTTGATGCTATTTCCGACATTTTTTGCTTTCATTCAATAAAATTAAAAAAAAGTAAAAGTTATGGCTTTTGACTTTGTTGCAGTTTTTTTATCTCACCCTGTACATATATGTGACCAAAATCTACTATAGGCTCAGAATACATCAAAAATCCAAATCGTAAATTTTTGCAAAGTAAGTTAAGTAGATGGGGCAAGTTCCTATATATTTCAGATTTTTCGAATTATATCTTGGAATCCGTTCATTTTAAGTAGGTAGTTTCTTAGGCAATATTATAGATAACAATGCAAAGAGTATTTGACTGCAAATTCTGACCTTTAAGCGAGCCACACAAAGGGATCTTTTTGGCCATTTTTAAACATGGTTAATTTTTTTTTAAATGGGATCGTGGTAGGTCAATATACCTCACAAATTTATCCATCATAAAATTCTACTACAGGTCTCAGAAGTCATAAAAAGTCTAAATATTAACTAAAAATACATTTTAGGGTTAAAACCGCACTTTATTTGAGTTTATGCGATTTTCTCGTAAAAAGCATCATTTTGGAATGATGGCGTCAAAGAAAACAAGTAAAAAAACATTAAGTTATGCCGGGCCGAACTTTCAATACCCTCCACCTTCAAGGATTGTCATTTATCAAATCTTCTAAAATATCTAATTTGAAACAATTTCACGGGCAATTTCACTAGGATTATCAAAATACCGAATATCGGGAGGTCCTGTTATATGGGGGCTATACCAAAACGTGGGCCTATACATGTAATGTTTCACCACCGGTGCAAGAACCCATCATGGCCAAAAAATTCCCATTCTTAGACAAATTAGTGGGAAAATGTGGCAAAAATCATCAAAATACCGAAAATCGGGAGATACCCGTGAACAAATGTGGCAAAAATAAAAAAATACCGAAAATCGGAAGGTACCGTTATATGAGGCTATACAAAAACGTGAACCTATAAATACAATGTTTCGCCACCGGAGCTAGAACCCATTATGACCCACAAATACCAATTTTTAGACAAATCCGTGAAAAAATGCGGCAAAAATCAACAAAAACCGAATATCGGGAGGTAACGTTATATGGCGGCTACACCAAAACGTGGGCCTATACAAACAATGTTTCGCCACCGAAGCTAGAACCCATCATGGCCAACAAATTCCAATTTTTAGACAAAAAGCATGACAACATTAAAATAACTTCTGGGGAGAATATCCCAGACAAAAAACAAGGGAACTGATGAGGATTGGTGGCTCTTTTCGAATCCTAGTTATTCCCTGCCTTACCCCCTGGTAAACATTATCATCGTTCTCCACTAATTAACAAAAGTTGTTTTTATAAAAACAACAATAAAGGGATTAAGCCTGACCATTTTGCAACAACAAAATAATATAATAATAAAATTAAATAATAATAAAATTAAATAATAATAAAATTTGTGTATTTAACATGCATGATGAAAAATATCAGCATTTTTAGCACTATTCTCTATAATTTCTCGGTACAATATACAGCCAGTCTTGGTTGTGGGAAATTCAGAGTGGATTTGATAGCTTTCGGTATCAAGATCAAACCAATTGGTAATTATCTTATAATGCTCTTACTATGCACCAAGGGTTTTTAATATTTGGAGAAATATTTCGAAACATTAAATATAGAGCTTTGAAAATTTATAGAGAGCTTGTGATTACTCCAAGATTGATTGGTTACAAATGGCACATGTCATTCCCGATATAAGCAAATAGTTGTTTACGTTTTTGTTGTATTTTCCATTTAATTTCGCCAAATGTTGGTATTTTGAATTCACATTATTACTAAAATATATATTGGCAAAGTTTGTGTGG